AGAGAGACAGAGAGACAGAGAGACAGAGACAGAGACAGACAGAGAACTGTTACAATATGTTATATTATAATAGCTACGTTACACTATAGTTAATGCAAATAAAATACGTGACGAATGACAATCTTACTCGTCTGTGTTTCTTTCTTTTCTCTGTGTTTGAGAGAGGTAGTTTCCTCTTCAGCTGTTTAATTAACAAGTTGATAGTCTTCTCATTGCCTCCTGTCTTTGCTGACTTGAGTTGAGCCTCCTGAAAACATGCAAAAGCTGAGCGCTCACAGTGCTCCTGAAAGAGAAAGAAGTTGTGTACCTGTTATCAAAAGTTATTCAGAAAGTTAAATGACCTTCCCAATTGCTGCCTATCTCTATTAAGTGTCTTGGATCACATTTATTTCAACAGAAGAGTGAGGTTTGCTTTCACCTCCATTTGATCTTTGGTCAAAAGAAATGGACAGGCCAGGGACGTAGCTCAGTGGAACAGCGCCTGCCTGGCAGGCACGAGATCCTGAGTTCCATTCCCAGAACCACAGAAACAAACAAACAAACAAAGAAGAAATAAGTGGAGGTGCCTCTATGAAAATTTGCCCTGGTGTTATGTTGAGCTGTAGGGGACACAGGTCAACAATTTCTGACATTGCCAGTCAAGCGGAAGACCCAATACTATTACGGGCTACTGAACTCTTAGAATATTTTGCTGAGTTTACACACCTATAATATTCAAATAACGGAACTTAACCCAAAAAAGGGGATACAGATGAATGTCCATTTTGTATCTGTGTATTCAAAGTGGTTAGGATAGATATATAGTTACATTCTCTTAATGAATAGAGTGATTTGTTCTAATGGTATTTGTAAATAGGATATCATGTCTGCATCTTGTACAGCAATTAACCACTAGGAAGAATGTATGTAATGTGTTAATTATTGAAACTGTCCTACCAATTTGATTTGAAACTGTCTCATTGCTATTTGTTTCTCAATAAAATTATGGGAAAAAATAAAATTAAATTTTAAAAAAAAGAAAATTTGCCCTCATCTCAGGGACGAGGGACATTTGTTTTTCTCACTTCAGAGGTGAGGGAAGGGAGTGTTAATTTTCACAGTGCTTCACTCTTAATCTTCTATGGAGAGCCGTTTTGATGTCTGAGACCTTTGTGTTTTGTAAGGGAGAGCTGGTTTGATTCAAGAACATAGTCACTTGGGATAGCGCTTGCCTGGCAGCTGCAAGGTACTAAATTTGATTCCCAGTCCCCTGCCCCGAAAAGGAACACAGTCACTTTATCTATTCATCTGGTGATGGTCATCTAGGCTGTTTCCATAGGTTAGCTACTGTGAGTTGCAGTGCTACAAATATGGCTGTGCAAGAATCACCACAGTACCAGGACTTCAACTCTTTCAGGGAAAATATCCAGGAGCGGTAATACTGGGTCCAATGGAATTTCTATGTTTCATTCTTTGCGGGGTATAAATTAAACAATAAAGAAGGATGAATTAAAGTGGGAACGTGAATGAATTAAATAATGTTAAATAAATTAATGTTAAATGTTAAATAAATTAAATAATTAAATGTTAAATGACCATAAAGTTGAATATTACATGGATTACCTTATTTGAGAAATCATATATATATATATATATATATATATATATATGAGTAATATATATATGAGTAATATATATATATATATATATATATATATATATATATATATATATCCAGTGAGATAGCTCAGTGAACTAAGTGTGTGCTTTGGCAAGCACAGAGACCAGGGTTTGATCCCTAGTCTGGCATGCCACACCAGCCCCACCCCTGGGGCACTCTGAGCCGGCTAATGAGTTTGGGCGTGGTGGCATATGCCTATAATTCCAACACTGGGGAAGCTGAAAACAGAAGGATCACTAAGTGAGACTCTGTACTAAATACATAAATAAAAAAACAAATGTAATTATTATGTTTCACGAACATACCAGTAAAACAAAAATTTTTAAAAGAACACAGTTACTGAATGATGAGATCACTGAACTTACACTGTAAGTGGTTATAGCTTTGGGTAAGTTAGGGTCTGACTAAATTTTCTTTAATTTGCAATTTCTGTCTGTATGAACATAGATGTGTCTATCCGTGATGTATTTTAAGCAACAAGGTATTCTATACAGCACTTCACATAGTGTCTTTTTGCCAGGAAATATGCAATGTCTATTTGTGGAGTCAACAGAAGAGATAAGGGAGTTACAGCCCCTCACTGGGGAGAGGAAGTGGGCACCTGTCTCTGATGGCATACTCGAAGATTCCACACACCATAGGCCATGAGTGAGTTTTCTAAAATTATATTCATGTTTTCTGCATGAAAAAAGCAAGTAGGACTCTGTATGAATCAAGCTGTCAAGGAATAGACTTTGAGCCTTGCTTTGACCAGTGGGAGGGAAGGCTTTTCCCTAGAAAGTAAGAATAGCATCTCAGAGAATGGAGGAGAGTCTAAATGACCAGTGACCAGTAAGTTAGCCAAGGCTCTCAGCAACTGAACTGAAGAGGAGGTGGAATTTATTGGAAAAGCACAATTTCTACCTACTTATTGAAGACATTTTAATGCTGATCTAAGAGCTTGTATCTGGGTTACTTATACTCGTTCTTTTTTTTCTTTCAGTTAATGTGCATGTGATGCTCTTTCTCCCTGGAACTGCTACGTCTTCACTTCACTAGCATGCACGGAAGCCACTAGGTTATGGCCCAAAACCCTCCGTCCCTCCCAGTCCTTGCAACGGCAGTCATACACATAACAGTGTTGCCTGAATCTTCTCATAGCAATCAGCTGAAAATAGCATCTAGCCTGTTTTGCATTTTCCAACCCATATGATAACCCAATGTGAATGTTGATTAATAACACATCTTTAAGACCCAAACCCATCAGATTCACTTTGCATATACAGCCACAAGCCGAGAGCCAGTTGGTCTGGTTTTCCTTCTATCAAGGCAGCTTCCTTTCATAAGGGCAAGGTACTGCCTTTCCATGTTTGCCAAATTGCTTATTTAATAGAAACTATTTATAAATGTTAATTTTAGCACTTTTTTTTCCTTGAAAACCACATGTTCATGTTTGTTAAAGTTTTTTTCTTTTCTCTTCTTTTTCACCACAACCGGCTTAACTTACTGGAAAAAAATAATATTCATATTTAAAGAGGTAAATTTTCCAGCTGAAACTGAAAACACTAACTGCTTCATCCGTGATGATCTGAGAAACCAGCATTTCTCACAGAGGCCCATTATGCTGAGTTAACATTTTCATTTGTGCGTTGAAAGAAAATTAGGTTCCAAAGAAGCAGAGGAGTCACATGGAACAAACTCCTGTGAGGCAAAATTGCCAGCGATAGTCAAGACTAGTGGCCAAAACTTTTACACTGGAGAAGGCCTTTCCAAGAGCCCCTAAGACTAGAAGAGGAAGTTAGTTTCTGGTGCTGCCCTCCCACATTCGCATGAATAAAAGGTTGTTTGCTTTACCCTTGTAAACTGCAGAGACACCCCTAGCATTGTGTGGTACAGAGCAGGTAACTGAGAGGTTTGGGCTCGATGCACATCAAAGGCAGCCTCAGAAAGAAAAAGCAATGATGGAGCTGTCCCTGCTAACTTCCTGAAGGACATGTGGAGGACAGTAGCCTCAGGAACCAGTGCTCAGAAGTTTGCAATGGCCCAAGTCCCTCTGTGTGCCGAGAGCTTTCCTTCACTCTGCCTTAGTGACAGCAAACTATTGATATATTGAACTAGACTTGTTTTTTGCTGTCAGATCTGTGTTATGCACACTAGAACATCTAGCAGCATCCCTGTCCCACTACCAGATGCCAGTAGCACCCTCACCTCCATCCCCAACTGGGCCAGCCAAAAATTTCTCCAGCCTTGTTCTTTGGTGTGCAAATTCACCACCACTTGAGAGCCATTAATTATAGGGTTAGAAGAAAGAGGAGGAGAGAGGAAGCGGGAGAGGGAGAAGGAGAGAGAGGAGAGGGAAAAAGAAGTGAGGGAAGAGAGAGAGAGACAGAAACAGACAGAGACAGAGATAGACAGAGACAGAGACAGAGACAGAGACAGACAGAGACAGAGACAGAGAGGCCAGTTAGGAATCTTAGATAATCACTATATAAATGCACCATTTAAATGGTTTTATTTTTCATTAACTTTTAAAGTCTTTTACAGATCCTGTTTTGATTCTTGCTCTAATTACCTTGATATAATACCAATGCAGCCTTGCCTGTTTTCTTCCTGAGTGTGCCTGTCTATGTACTTAAAGATCTCAGTTACAGAACTGCTCACTTGTACCATACACGGTACTGCTTGATCAGTTACCAAACAGGTTCAGTATCTCTGGGACCAAGCCCTCTCATGATGATGTAAGATAAAAAATGTCTTCCAGTGAGGGATTGCCAGAAGATGGAAATGTGTAGAAAGGTAGGGGTATGGAAAAGCAGGCTAGGTGTGATCTATGCACAATGTTTGCATTTGTAGAAACATTGCAGTGAATCTCATTAATTTATATGATTAACATGTTGGTAATAATAACAAGTATTAAAAGTTGCTATCGGAAAATTTAAACTTAAAAAAACTGTTCATTAATAAAGCATATGAGGAAAGTACTGTACCTATGGGTCCAAATTAAATTAGAAGATGGGATATTTTCTATTTCTTATTTTGTCAGTTGTAGTCTGCAGGTAGGAAACTCTGCAACTACTGCAGATAAAGTTGGTTCATTAGATCTAGAAAATGTGTGTTTTGACAGATGCACAAATTAAGAAATATTCTCACTTATTAGAGAAGGCTTTCCAATAAGTTGAATGTGCTACTTTCATTTTAAATGCTGCTTATTAGAAAAGAATCTAGTAAACATGAGAGTGGTTAGGTTTAGAGCTAGAGAGTGAATTTTAGAAAAAGCAATAGTTGTGACTCATTCACTTTCTAAACTTTTACACAGTCATTTACCATAATTGTTTTCTTTGCAATGTATCTGTGTAACTCTCCCCCCTTTGTAGTGTCTTAATTACTGGTAACACTTTCAAAGTTATCCTAATTTATGCAATTAAAGGTCTATGACAATGAAAACATTTCCCCAAATGCATTTATCCTCTCAGAGTCCAAACCAGCAGACCAGATTGAAGCTACTGGGGCAAAAGATCAGCAGACACTGCTCTTGAACTACATGGCTGAACTTTTTTCCCTGGAACTTGAATTTAAATGGCTCCAGACATGGAACAAGTTATTGAAAATGGTCCTTTCAAAAGACCTCACCGAAGGCCAAAGACAAGACTTACTGAGGACAAGGTACATGAGAATTATACTCTAAAAGAAGGCTTTAATTTCTATTTCAAATCATTTCTCCACACTATTTCTTGTTTAGCTCTGCTTCTGATGGTATGTATCTATATTTCTTAAATAAGCTTGCAAAGAAGGCCCAAGCACTTTCCTGACCTACTGGCTCTTAAAATATAGCTAGCTTTTCATTGCACCAAGCTAACCATAGTGTAGACTTCTGTTCTAGTTTTGCTATTCTGTCTTAACAGTGTTACCTACGAGAAGTCTTAAAGATACTTGAAGGTATACATATATTTTATAAGGAATATAATATAGCATTTGATGGGCTAGTTTTTGGTAAATCTATGAACATTTCACCAAAATAGAAATAAATATTTTACTAATTATTAAACTCCAAATTTATGGAAATTAAGTACAGTATATCCCAAAATAATCATTCTAATGTCTGAGTAGATTTTAAAACGCATCAATATACTCTCAGAAATCAGTTCAGGAGGTCTTACCTTTACATCTTCTGGAGCTGGCAAAAATGCAGGATCCTAAAGCAGAAGAAAAGTGGTTCTGAGTTATTATTTTCTAAGTCAAAAGTCTCTTTTTATATTAGTTGAAAACTACTTAAGTCTTGTTATAACAAGTATGCTCTTACCAAGTCATTCACATAATTTTTCAGCTGATCAACAATGTCTACAAGTTGCCTCATCCTAACCATGAAGCGGTCTTGTCCCTGGGAACTTGATTTATGGGCCACTGCCCCCAAGAAGATGACCATCAGACAGATAGCTATCCTTTCCATTTTGCCAGGACTGGGTCTCATGAGTACCAGGGGCAGAGCCAGACCTTGGTCTCCTTTGCGCTTCAGTTTGACAGTGAGCAGGTTGTCAGCAAAGCTACCTATTTATTCATCCTTCGAGGAGAGGCAAAGCCCTCCCATTGCAGCCTGGAAATCTTTGTAGAATGGATGAAATGTGAGTAACTCTTTTTTCTTTTCCACTGGCTAGGTATACGTGTGCATGTGCTAATGCGTGGGGGCAGGGATGGATGCAGTCAACGAAATGTGCCCAATCTGCAGCTTAGACAGGAAAAAGAGAGAAATGGGTGAATTCCAATTTTCAGCATGAATCGTGTGTGTGTGTGTGTGTGTGTGTGTGTGTGTGTGTGTGTGTGTGTGTGTGTATTAAACAGCAGATACTATGAGAACTTAAAAAGTAAACACAAACACTTTGATCTCCTCTTCTCTACATCCCCTGGAATCTTACCTGTTCTCCTGACAGTCATAAGAGCACTTCTCTAAGGAGTAAAGGGGCAACAAATGCCTTCTTGCAGGACTTTTTCTTATGGTGATGACTACGTCTTTTGACTGCAATCACCCTGTATCTCATCATGAATGTAGGAGAGATTACCTTTTAGGAAATTTTAAATAAATAGGATATTTTCTTAACTAGCAAGAGTTAGACCTTTATCAGGCTTCAAGAATTTAAAATAGGATTTGTTTTTAAGTCTTCACCAGAGCATCTTTAAGTGACATTAATGTTGGCTTCCGACATTTTATTTAACAATCTGACTTATAAACAATACAAATGATTTTAGTGAAGTCTATAAAAATGTACCCCCCAGGAATCTTACTGTACCTTCTTTAAAATAATCACATAAAATTAGTTAATATCTAACTTTTCTGTATAATGCTTCAGTTAAAATTAAGAAAGTGCTAATACTCATTCATTTCCAAATCCAAAAAATGTTACAAACAGCAAAATCAAAAGTACCCGCAAATGGTTCTTTTTCTCTTGAAGTAGTGTTACTTATTTTTGCTAGATATTTTTTTTTCTCTGAGTATGAGCAACATGTTTCTAACTGCATCTATCACAGGTAGAAGTTGAAAGATTCAACGTCTAGAAATGGTTTCACCATTCTCCTCTCTTCTGCTTCTCTTGTTCCTGAGACTCTTTTTCTATTTGAGGAAGCTGCTTATAACAGTTTAGCCCGAAACAAGTTTGTACACAGGTAGGTCTTACAAAAGAGAAAAATCTGTTATAATAGTCAAGTTAAATTGGAGTTTGGACTTGATTTGCTCTGCAGGTTGACTGTGGTCTTTTTACCATATAATATCTACTCAAGAATACAGTTTTGCCAGATGCAGTGGCATGTGCTTGTGCTCCCAACTATTCAAAAGCCTGAAGCAGGAGTGTTGTGGGCTCAAGGTCAGCCTGAGAAAGTTAGCAAGACCTTGTCCTAAAAAGTAATGATAATAATAATGAAAAGGACTGGGGGTGTAGCTCAGTAATGGAACACTTGACCAGCAAGTATAAGGTCCTTGTTCAGTAACTTTACCCACCAAATTAAAAGGAAAAAAAGAATGTACAGGTTGACCTTACATTGTAGATAAAAATTCTTATGATATGGTCTAGAAGTCCTCACTGTAGTCACTGTATTCTGTAGGGATGGGTTCTTCATGAACTCCCTGTTGGGCATGGACTAAGGATTGCCACCTGGGCTTTCAGCCTTGCTTTCAGGGTCCTGGCACATGGTTTCCTCATGTACCTCTGCAGATACTCACCTCCTTGAAGACACTCACCACAGGGATTAAGGGTTCAATTTCTAAAGCAAAGAGCTTGAGTTCAAATGCAGACTTTGGACAATTAGCAGCATATGTGATGCTCATAATGCTACTGCAAAGGGAACATGGAAGGTAATGATAGAGCTATAATAAGGCTTAAATGAAATAAAGTCTAAGGACAGCACAGGCTAAAATCCCAGGTCTGCAGGCTAGTTACAGATGACAGTGGAAGGGACAACTTACAGATCCATGGGAGGAAGGTTATGGGCAGGTCAGCACTCAGCCATATGATATGTGAGTGTGGATATCATGGTTGTCAGACAGGTGAAGTCCCTACCCAGTTAGAATCAGTTATACTGAACCCTGAGTTCTTCCCTGACATAAGACACCTCAGTCCCTCCCTGAGACCTCCGAGCATGCCCTCAATCTGTCTTTCAACATATCCGAGGTCTCCTAGGTTCTAAAATCTTGCTGAGAGTAGAATTCCTACCTCAAGAGGCATATCAGTTGTTAGACATTTTCAACATCACCCCTGGTGTGCGAGACTGAATAGTGCCCTCTGCCGCAAGGAAAGCCAACATTTTGGCCCTAGCCTTCCAAGGTCAATTAAGACTCAGGACATATGAGAACTTGTACTGTAACGTCATGTAACTTGGTAGTGTCCCAAATTTTCTGACCAAGGAGATTATGGGGCCAAAGAGGAAAGTGATCGATGATGTAGAGTGTGCCTAAGGAGAGTCACATGGAGAGAAAACATTCTCTCAGGCTTTCACAGAGAGCACATTGGCCAAGCAATGTCCGTGACTCATCCACATGGCTGACACTGACAAAGGTTCTACAATCTGAGGTACAGGATCTCAGGATAAATCCTGAAGGGATTTCACTGACCTTATCAGACCCAAAAGCTACAACTCTTGTTGCATAGGTCCTGCTTTACCTTGGTCTTAACCATCCAGCAGAAAAGTATAAAAACGAAATATAAGAAGTAAAGCCATGCTGTTATGTTGAGCTGTAGGGGACTCAGGCCAACAATTTCTGACACTGCCAGTGAAGTGGAAGACCCAATACTATTATGGACTACTGGACTCTTTTAGAATATTTTGCTGAGTTAACACACCTATACTATTCAAATGACGGAATTAAACACAAAAGGGGATACAGATGAATGTCCATTTTGTATCTGTGTATTCAAAATGGTTAGGATAGATATATAGTTACATCCTCTTAATGAACAGAGGGATTTGTTCTAATAGTGTTTGTAAATAGGATATCATGTCCGCATCTTGTACAGCAAATAAGCACTAGGAAGAATGTATGCAATGTGTTAATTATTGAAACTGTCCTACCAATTTGATTTGAAACTGTGTCATTGCTATTTGTTTCTCAATAAAATTATGGGAAAAAAATAAATAGTGCCCTCTCTCCTAATTCCTGGAATCTATGAGTTGTCACTTTCCATGACAAAAGGGACCTTGTATATGTGATTAAATTGAGACTATTATCATAGGGCAGAGGATCCTGTATTCAAATGAGCCTGATATCATCACTGGATTCATAAAAGGAAGGTAGTAAAGTCAAAGTGTAAGAATGATATGTGATGGCAGAGACATGGGCACAATGCAGGGGTCAGGTCAAGGGCTGTGGGCAGCCTCCAGAAGCAGAGAAGCCAAGGCTTGTCCCCTGGAGCCTCCCAAAGGAACGCGCCCCACCCATACCTTGAGGTGTATCATGAGGCTCCTTTCAGATTTTGACATTCAGTACTGTAAACTTCGGTGGTAAGCCACTGTGTGTGTGTGTGGGGGGGGGGTCATTTGTTACAATAGCAAAGAAAAGTAACAGGGGTGGGAATTTTGCTCTTGGAAAAAAAGCAGGAAAAGAAAGGGGATCATAAGGACAGCACCAAAAGAACAAAAATTTTGCTGGGAGTTTGGTGCAGGCAAAGGGGAGAGGAGGTGTGAAGAACAGAAGGAAGTGAGATTATATGGCTCCCCAGTGGTCAGGAGTATCAGGGACAGAAAGGCTTGGGGGGGCCGGGGAGATGGCTCAGGGGAATAAGCACTTCCCTGGCAAGCACAAGGGCCTGAGTTCAATCCCCAGTTCCGCCAAAAAAGAAAAGAAAAGAAAATCTTTGGGGGCAAGGAGATGACTCAGTAAAATAAACGCTTCCCTGGCAAGCACATGGGCCTGAGTTCAATCCCTGGTTCTGCCAAAAAAGAAAAAGAAAAAGAAAAAGAAAGGCTTGGGGACTCCGCAGGAGAGGTGCTGCTCCTTGCTTGGAGAAGGCATCACTCGGTATCAACTGGGTTTTAAAACTATGAGACTCAGTTTACCTTCAATTAATTTTTAATCACTAGTTTGAAGTGGGGCTCAGGCTAGTAGCAGGGAGGTTTAACTGATTCACCCAAGCAACACAGATTGTTCTTTTCTTAGAAACATTAACCTTACCGCTCCCTTTACCATGGCACATCATTGGGGTCTTAATGACTTTTTACTCTTTAAATTGTAATCACTTTTATAATTTGGATGCAGTCAGTCTTGTTATCATACTTGCTTTGAAAATGAGAATTTATCCTAGTGAGAAGAATGTCAACATATGAGTCTGGTGTTCTCTTATGTGTGACTTTTGTCTACAAGAAACACTAGGTTAATGTGGAAAACCGTCTACCCGAGCCAGGCTGCATGAGAACGTACAAATGCACACACACCTCAGCCACCCACCAGCAGCATTGGTGCAGTGTGCATGTAAGGAGCCATGCCCATCCGTGCCTGGTGTCACGATCCTGCACCACAGAGAACCCCCTTGGCCATGTCTCAGTGCCTCCCAAGCCGCCCGCTTCCAGCACCCACCTCCTCTAGGTCACGCATCATACGCATTGTACTATGTATGGCTTTCTTAAGCACTTAGCATGTCCAATATGTCTATCTTTTTTATTAGGTTCCTACCTCTTTTTTTTGGGCAAGCGCTTATTCTACTGAGCTATCTCCCTGACCCTTTACCTCTTTTTTCTGTGTCACTGATAATAGGCTTGAATGTTCTGCCCCAACCCTAATGTTCCCCACAAGCCTGTGGCTTTATTGTACAATATTACATAGGGAAAGGATTTTTACAAGCATGTGTGTCACATTACAGCAGAATGGACTGCATTTTGTTTTCAACCATTACATGTAATCCCCATCAGCAACACTTATATCCAACTGAAAGGCAAGAGTAGGATGCAAGGTTCATTGTTAAAGAGGGAGGATGACAGAAGCAACAGAAA